CATTTGTTTTTTTTTTGATTGTAACTTGGAAATGTGAGGCCCATTGTACTTCGACATTTAGTTTTTTTCTTGGTCGTCCATTCCTCTGGTGTAATTTTGACTTGCCCTTTTTACGCGTCGCCGAGCTATGCGGGCTGAGTCTTTCGTGTTTGTGTCTTGCGGCGTTGGTTTATGAGGAGCGCCAGGGTCCGCGGGATTTCGGCTCATGTCGGTTTTGGGGTGGGGCGGGTTCTTTTCGCTTGGCGTTCCCGCTGGTCAGTCAAGCAGGGCACCCCGGCCGTTTCACCCCACGTCCCTCACTCTTTGTAAAGTTACATGTCGTCAGCACCAACCGAAACTCCCGTTTTCCAGTCAGCCCTGTCCCCAACACCAAATCACCATCAATACTTTGTATTGTGCTGCGTGGGATTCAAGCAAAGAAAATATGGCGAGCTTTTTACGGGCTAGACAGGCTGGGGTTCAGAATGACCTTTCAGTGGGAATCACGCCGGGGTCATTCAATCCAGACGAACAATCGCGATATGGCATCAACTCGCAGATCAGGTATGTCTATGCCTATGTCTATGCCTATGTCCCTGTCCGTCCATGGCTATGTCTTGTTTCTATTGTCTATCTGCCGGTTTCGTTCCATTTATATAATAACCGTTGTCCTTCATCTCTCCGTCTTCCCATCCCCAAAGACGAAAAGAACCTCGCTAACCTCCTTCCTCTACCTACCACAGCTGCCTCGCCTACGACCCCATCCAATCCCTCCTCGCCGTCGGCACCACCACCTCCCAATACGGCCCCGCCCAGATCTACGTCTTTGGCGCCCACCGCGTCCACCGCACCTTCACCCCCTCCTCCCCCTCATCCCGCAAACCCCCCCTCTTCAACCCCACCGCCTCCTCCTCCTCCACAACAACCACCACCCAACCACCCCCCGCCATCCGCCACCTCGCCTTCGTCGCCAACCGCCTCGTCAGCCTCGACTCCCACAACGAGCTCGCCATCTGGGACCTCGCCTCCGGCCGCCAGGCCGCCAAGACCACCTACGGCCGCGTCGCCTGCGTCGCGACCGACCCGGGCCTGGACTGGGCCTTCGTGGCCATGCAGAATGCCGCCGACGTGTGGGCGTATGACCTCGATCGCGAGCGGCAGGCGACGGGGTTCCGAGTACCGAATTTGTGGCGGTTAAGGGACGATCCGAGGGGGGTGGATTTGAGGATGGGGGTGGGCATTGGGGTCGTGAGTTTGCAGTTGCATCCGAGGGATATTGGGAAGTTGTTGATTGGCTATACGCATGGCGCGGTGGTGTATTCGTTCAAGCAGAATGCGGCGACCAAGTACTTTGAGTATGTGGTGCCGGCGGGGGCGCCGGGTGGGGATGGGCGCGGGGTGGAGAGGGAGCGCCGGCCGAGGGTGGTGCAGGCGGTGTGGCATCCGACGGGGACTTTTGTGCTGACGGCGCATGAGGATGGGAGTTTGGTGTTTTGGGATCCGAAGGATGGGAGGGTCGTGGCGGCGAGGTCGGTGTATGAGACGAGGGTTAATGAGGTTGGGGGGAAGCGGGCGGCGGCGAAACCGACGCCCCTGGTGCCGTTTGTGAAGATTGCGTGGTGCTGCAAGCAGAACCCGGATGATACGGCGTTGTTGATCGCGGGTGGGCAGGCGGTGGATGAGCCGCAGAAGGGGTTGACGTTTTTGGAGCTGGGGCCGACGCCTACGTATGCGACGTCGTCGTGGGAGGTGCTGACGAACCATTTCGAGGCGAAGAGGCGGCTGACCCTGCCGATACCGCCCGGCGCTGCGGTCGCGAACTACTGCCTGATTCCGCGGTCGTCGCCGTACTTTGATGGTGCGCAGGACCCGATCGCCATCATGACCATGCTCACCTCGGGCGAGATCATCACCATGAGCTTCCCGTCCGGGTACCCCATCAGCCCAACCAACATGCTGCACCCGAGCATGTCGTTCGTGCATCCGTTCGTGCAGAAAATCGCCGTTAGCACCATGGCGCGCGAGAGGTGGCTGGGCCTGACCGAGACGCGCAACCGGGGCGACCCGATCCTGAGGGGCGGCGCCCCAGCTTCGAATAATAGGAGGGCGGGCTGGGACTTCCGCAATATTATCCAGGTTGCTCATGCCGACAGCACGATCCGGATCTGGGATGTTGGTCACGGCGACGAGATTGAGAACCCTCTACAGTTACAAGTGGATGTCGCTCGGGCGCTCGACCGGTTCGAGGATGTTAATGTCACGGCGCTTTCCATGTCCGGCGCTACCGGGGAGTTTGCCGCCGGCACGAGGAAGGGAGAAGTTGTCATCTACAAGTGGGGAGGGAACAGGAACTTTGGCCGGGACGCCACGAAGCCCCTGAACTCGAACCCGGGGGGGTTGACAGACATCTCGTCGCGTTCGGAGCCCACACTTAAGGACGGCCTGCAGCCGTTTGTCCTTTACGAGATGATGCAGGGCCCTATCAGTGTGATCACAGTTTCCGATGTCGGGTTCGTCGCCGTGGGTTCCGAAGGCGGCTTCTTCAGCATCATCGACCTGCGCGGGCCGAGTGTCATTTTCCAGGCGTCTGTCGCGGATTTTGTCAAGGAGGAGAAGCGGTCGTCGTTTCTCAAGGGCCACTCGTCCAAGGCGGCGCCCGGGACAAAAGAATACCCGACCGCCATCGAGTTTGGTGTCTTGACTTTGGAAGGAGACGGTTACTCCAGCATTGCGTGCTTTGTCGGGACGAGCCTGGGGCATGTGGCTACCTTCAAGGTCCTCCCGTCGGGGCAGACATATTCGGCGCAGTTGGCCGGCGTGTCCAAGGGCAATGCCGACAAGGTCATCTCAATCAGCACATTGAATGCGGATACTGGGCAGCCGGCTAGTGCAACTCTCCTCTCGGTAGGGGGACTGAGGGAGGGCCGGCAGGTAAACGGTGTTTTGGTTGTTGGTAAGTCCACTCCCCCCCCCCCCCCCAGTTTCTTCTTGTATTCCACCTGACAACACCTAGTGGCCGCGAACCGAAATCCGCATCTTAGAGCCCGGCACCGACGAACGTGCCATTCAATCCTTAAGATGAACAATTCTGCGACGCTTGCCGCGATCGTCCCCTCTGATCCCACATGTTGGGCGTCTCTCTCATAGCCCCCTTTGCGGATCCGGCCCATGGGCGGCGAAACACTTCCCGGGGCTTTAAACAGAAGGGGCGGGCCGGGCCGCCCAGAGGTCTACCCGGCTACTACACAAGTCCATCGTCCTGGTCAAGCCTCGGGGATTCCTGTTGGGTGGGACAGCGTCCTACCGAAACCTCCACCCTCGCCTCCCTGGGGGTCACGGCCATTGACTTAAAGCCTTTT